ATTCAATCAATTAATGGCTTTTATATGCATCCTGTATCCCTTCAAACATTTTCCAAATCGGGGCAATGATTGTCCTACATTTCACTGAATTTGATAACAAATCTTGATAAAAAAAAAAAACAAAAAAAAACAACCTGACTCTTTGCTTTTAATTCATAAAAACGGTTTTGCCTATATAGAGTCCAACAGCGAATCCTCACAAATTAGACCATTTCCAAATGTTGGGAATTGGGGGTTAGAAAATAGATTATTGTCTTCAAGATTTACTGTAAATGCCATCTTCTTTTAGCTTATTTTCATCCCCACCATTTTGGTATATGAAGGGGTTAACTTAAAATACTTACAGAATACAATAAAGCCGTGTTGATTACATTTTGCACTAATGAAACCTTTTCATTAATTAGGAATTTTAAGAAGATGCATGAGATGTCTAAATTAGAATTAATTCCTATTTTACCTAAAAATGAACAGTGTAGAACATATATGCTTACTATCTCTTTCTTAATTCATTATATATAGTTGGCTTAATTAATAAAGATAGATTGGAATCATTCTTAACTTACATTTTTTTTTTATCAACAAATGAAAATGGATTTATATTGCTAATGAGTATAAAACACTCTTTAGTGCAATGATCTAAGAAATTTAAAGAGTTTTAACATGAAAAGAGACTCTTTCATTTATATCATTTCTCAACCATTGTTTTCTTTTTTCTATTTTAAAATTTTCTCCAATACCAAATATATCAACCGGTGACCAAAAATATTAATGCTCCTACATCTTGAACACATCCCCACCCATACCATATGACATCAACTCCGTCATCCCAAAAACATCATCTGGCAGCCCCTATATCTTGAACACATCCCCACCCATACCATATGACATCAACTCCACCATCCCAAAAACATCATTTGGCAGAACTCCCTTCAAACCCCACCGTAACATCACCTTCATCGAAACTAACCACACTACTCTACATTCACAAAATAAATGACTAAGCTCCTCCACTTCTTCATTGCATAACCCACACCTCATATCTTTTCCTTGTGTAAACACCCCCCTTTTGCAAAGGTTCTCCTTTGTGGCCAACCTATTCAGGAAGAATCACCACCCAAATATACCACCCTTTAATGGAATGTATTCACTCCAAATTATTCTACACTATTTCCGATCAAGAAGTTGATCTTTAGGTGTTAGAATAATTCTTAACTTATTATTTAAGTTCAAATAATTTTAATGATTCATACTTACTACTATTAAAAGAGTTTTGAACTACAATAAACTACAAAACAAAAGCCACTAGATAAGGATTGCCCCCAAAAATCCTCCCCATATTATTCAAAAAAAAAAAATCTCAAAACAAAATAAGCAACTGGGCTTCCCCGTCCTTCTCACAGGCTGACGTTGCTTAAATAAATACCCAAGAGACCTTATCCACCACCCTTAGCAATACCACCTGCCTACCTTTTTCTTTCCCCCTATTTTTTTGTTCTTGGATAGCTTTGCTCTAGGGTAAACCCTTTGATAATTACATGACAAGAGACCACTCGGAAGGTGTTAGACAAGTGCACATGATTATAGTCCTTCCTCCTCCAAAAGTGGGAAATTTGAACCTCTTTAGGAAGGCCACCCTGCCCCACCTCCTAGACGATGTCCCCCCTTAATCAAGTTGATGAACCATAATCCATAACCTCCAAATCAGTGATCT